AAAAAAAAAAACTACGGGCCTGTTCTATTTAGATTTCAATCTTAAAATCGGCCATATTTTTCGAAAGAAATCATTTTGGGTGCAAATCACCCTGGATGTGCTCCTGGAACGGTAACTCAATCATGCGAAAACCAAGTACACCGTCATTGTATCGGATTGTTACATATCAGCGTTTAGTTGATTTGGTTCTATTACTAGTATGTTAATTTTATTCAAAAATACATGTATTCTAAAACAGATCTAACAACTGTCACTGTGTCATTACAGATCGAATATTGGTCGCAAGCGAAGCCTGGTCGATGAGTACATCCATTGCCTCTACCGAACTTGAACGGCAAGTTACCGAAGGAAGTCTAGGAGTTGTTCTTCCAGCACGGAATATTCCAGGATTTTATGACTATATTAACAAACTTAATCCATTTAACGAAAATAATATCTTAGTTTCGGCTGCATGGGAAACAGCTTTCAATTGCAGTATGCCCATGACCGCGAAAGAGACGCGCCCAACAACTCAGGGTGGCGCAAGGAACAACACCGCAGAAATCATGACGTCATCAGTTGAATCACACATACAGCACTCTGGTTATATCACGCACATCCCAACGACAGTTTATTGTTCCGGTGAAGAATCTTTTTCAACGCATTTAAATGATAGTTTATCGTCGTCAGCTTTTTTATACCGCGTCTATCTCGCCGTTTACGCCATTGCGCATGCGTTGGACGACATAACTCGTTGCGAGTATCCTGATGGACTTTTATCGGGTGGCACATGTCCCGATGTATGGAATCTGAAACCATGGCAACTGTTGAAATATTTACAGAATGTGAACTTCACGGACGTTTTTGGACACCACATTTCTTTTGATGACGACGGTGGCGTTGGGGGCGTATATGACATTGTGAACTGGCAGAACGGCAACACCAAAGTTCCCGCCAAATGTGCACTCATGGATGATGGTCAATCTGACATGTCCAACTGCGAGCCATCCTGGGATGAAAACGACTCTATTCTCGTTGATGAGAGTAAAGAACACCCAGAGTATATTCAGGTTGTTAAAATAGGTCGATATGACCATCGTCAAATTTCAATGAACAATGGCCTACAAATTAATCATGGAGATATTACGTGGAAGAATTCGTGCAAAACAGTAAGTATTTTATCTGACACGTATTAAAACGACACTGTTCTCACACAGCGTGCGTTCCAATAATGTATTTTACACGCGTTGTATGGGACCCAAGTCGAAGACGCTACGGTGCGGCGTCAACTGTGGTTTCATTATCAGTAACAAAAAAAATGTATCTACGTATCTTTCACCCATTCCTTCCCAGATTCCCACATCACGATGTAGTGCCCCGTGTGATCCCGGCAAAAGAAAAGGAATATTATCAGGATTTCCAACTTGCTGCTACGAATGTATCACGTGCTCGGAAGGAACAATCACAAACGACACCGGTGAGTGTAAAATTTGAATTGTTCGGCGCCACTCAATTCAACACCTGGTCTTTTGTTTATATGCAGATTAGTAAAAATTTTATATGTTAATTAGTAAACAGTCATGTTATTTGTATATGCAGTTTAGTAGCCCACCACATTTGATCTAACATGTAATTTTTTTTACAGATTCTACAGATTGCACAAAGTGTCCAGAGGGCACTTGGCCTAACGACGAACAAACAATGTGTAAGGATAAATACCTCGAATACTTAGCTTGGGACAACCCCGAAGCTATCGCGTGCATGGTATTAGCAGGTCTCGGAATCCTAGCAACTGTCATCGTCATGGCAACATTCCTCAAGTTTCGCAACACTCCAGTAGTTAAAGCTTCAAATAGAGAACTGAGCCTCCTCTTCATGGGCAGTCTGATTGTTTGTTTTTTGTCTGTTTTCAGTTGTATGGGCGAACCAACCAATACTCAGTGTGTCATCCAGGTGCCTCTGCGCAGTCTCAGTTTTACAATGTGTGTATCCATCTTATTGGTTAAAACGCATCAGATCATGACGGTGTTCGAATCAAAAGTGCCACGCGCGGGTCGGTGTCTCTTCAAGGCCCAGTTACAGGTGTTTGTCGTATTGGTATTAACAGCTGGGCAGGGTATCGTAGTATTTCTGTGGCTATGTCTTAACCCTCCGAAAGCCGTGTATTTCCCGAATATAGCAAAGGAAGTCATTTATCTGGAATGCGATTCGGACTTCTCCGCACCAATCCTCGTAATGTTTGCGTACACCTGGGTTATTGCTGCTGTGTGTCTCGGTTTCGCTTTCAGAACACGAAAACTACCGGAAAATTTCAACGAATCAAAATTTATCACTTTTGCTATGGTGATATATTTCATGGCATGGCTGACTTATTTTCCCAGTTATTTCGGCACGAATGGCAGATTTAAAGCCCTCTGTCAGGTTATTCTGTTACTTGCCTCGAGTTACGCCATGTTGCTTTGTATTTTGATCCCAAAGTGTTTTGTCATACTCTTCAAACCGCATTTGAATACAACAGAGTACGTGAGGTCAACAACACTAAGTCACGCCAACCGTCGGGCATCGGCAGTTATGGACACGCGAAGACGAAAAAGTATGATTAATCCCGTGCTAACAAGCACAGAAAATATAGAAGATGGCGAAAATTGTCTTCACGTTGATACCGATAATGATGGAAAATCCACGCAATCGCCTTCCGAACCGAATCACAACCAGCATAGACACCACTGTCGACAGCTTTTCGGGGAAAATAACGAATTCACCTTATCACAGGTAGTAATATGCCATCATGACACTGAGCTAGATTCCAAGGTTAATGTCTTCAGAGTCAGGATAATTCCGCCGTCACCACAAAGTCATATCAGTAGGACGACGATGTGCCCTGCGTCTGCGCGCGATTCGATCGAATTGGTGGCATCACATGGTTTAGATAATCCTACATTCAGTTAATGAACGCCATTTCACACATTTTCCATAATATACCCGAACACGTGTCATGCAAACACATCAACTGTTGTTGGAAACGTTAATATTACGCAATAACGATGAACAATAGTTGTGTTCACGTTACACGAGGTACGGGCTAAGATTTGAGCTGATTTAAGTTTATCTAGCATATTTGCATTTCGCACAGCGAGGCTAAGGGGTGCCATCAGTCGGTGACCTTTGGCAAGCCGCTATTTACGAACGAAAAATACTGCTGACATGTTTCGTTTTGAAGCGACGTGCACAGGAGAGAAGACGGACCCAACTTGGATGCACAGAAACAGTATACAACGGCGTAACAGAATACAGAGTTTTATTAATGCATGTCGTAGACAGCGAACCAAATGTATTTTGTCTACACCCAAAGTTCGCCATAGAGGGCGCTTAGCCCCGGGCTAAGCGTTCGCGCACACTTTGTTAGCCCGTGCACGGTTACTAAAACAGAAACCGTGGCCCGTGCTAAGGGTCTAGATTTAACCCGTACTTAGCATTCCTTAGCCAGTGCTAAGCGTTCACGCACGTTTTCTTAACACGGGCTAAGGAATTTGACCTCTTAGCCCGTGCTAAGGAGCTGTGCATGAACGCAATTAATATTTAAAATCAAAAACAAAACGAAAACCTAGTGAAAATATATATATATATATATTGTTTACATGAAATTTGAACGCGCGACGTGGTGACTGTATCGCTTTAGGAAGCGATGTTATACACATATTTCATACAAAACAAAACTAATTAAACTTCTATATACGACAATGTAAAAACTAGAACAGCAGGACCACTTTACACGGAGCCAATGAGTAACGTTACCGACATTCTAAATAATTTATAAGAGATATTTGTTTAGGTTTTTAAAAAAACAAACGAATAGTTACTGTAATAAACAGATGTTGAAAATCCCAAATAATAAAACCAATACAACAACACTGGCCTTTCAAAAATTGACCCAGCTGACTCTGTCATAGCCCTGAGTACTGTCCTGTGGGTTGGCCTCCTTCCGCTGATCATTCGGCCCCCACAGTCCTGAGAAGTCGCATAGACCGAGGATTCGACACTATTTGAAGGAATGTATCGGGCGATTTAAGAGGCAATTAGCTTTGCAGTTAAAAAAAATAAGCAATCGATACGTCTAACTATTCTAAATGCATTAACTGGGAGCGAAATTACTTAAGATTCCCCACAAATCGACATTTTCCAACGTCAACCGAAAATATACACCGCCATCTTGTTTTTGACGTATGTATCTGATGTATTAACAAAACGTTGGTTCGTTGCGTAAAACTAGCTTTCACCAACGTTCCAGTACTGTAGGTTCATTTTTCGGCCATATTTGTGATCGCTAGATTGGTCGATAGATGTTTTAGCTGGTTACAATCATGAAAACTGCAGAACGGTTCTCCGCCATAAATTTGTAGGCGGGTGTCGAATCCTCGGTCTATGCACAGTCACTCTGCTAGTAGAGTGAATGTGGTCTATGCGACTTCTCAGGACTGTGGGGACCGAATGATCAGCGGAAGAAGGCCAATCTACAGGACTGTACTGAGGGCTAACTCTGTCAGTGCTCAATCTAAAAGTTTCAGTCCACCAAGGTTTTCGATAAAATTCCAATCACAATTTTAAAACTTGTTTTTTCTGATATAATTTTAAATAAAAAGTTTGAATACAAGCATGCCATCTCTTGCAATAGTTTTTTTTTCAAAATAGAGAGAATTACATTGTAATTGTGGTGTGAAACCTACATATAGATAGATCTATATAAACTATATGTTTGTCATCAGCATTGATGCGAACCGTCGACGTAACTAGCCTTTAACGTACACAAAACGTTTTATTATCACATGTCATTATCAATTAGTAGTACGCTTTGTATTGAACCAGGGAGCTTTCTTCGTAGCTTCCTGATTGAACTAAAATATAAAACAAGCAGCCTGTCGGCTGAGATAGCTCCGCTGTTAGCAATGCACATTTCAATTAAAGAACAGAAGATATCATCAGAAAATGAACAATATGTATAGTATCAAAGCAATCAGACTTACGGTTTTCAACAATATTGGAAAATATCACTTTTTACCAAAAATGACAAAAATATTCACCAAAATTAGAGAATTGAAGATATCATGAAATGAACAAATCTAAGAGAGTCTACCCAAGGTACATGTACACCAATTATCAAAGCATTCAGGCTTGTAGTTTTCAAGAAGAAGTCAAAAAAGTAAAACATTGACACGGACGACGACGGACGACGGCGGACAATCACTCATATGATAAGCTCCGCTCGACGAAGTCGACAGCGAAGCTAAAAAGGGGAATTACAGAGTACTTTCCGTAAATGCGAACGTGATAGACGAAACAACACGATATGACAGAGCGCTACCAAATTGCATGCTGTTCCCGAGTAAATATTACTGTGGCTGTAAAATACATGTATACATAGTATTATTTATCTTTCGAACAATTTTATTTTTCATAATAAATAAGTGTTCCAACATGTCGATAGTTAAGTGGATTGCACCCTGTATTATAATGATTATTAATAGATAATGTAATGCATGTTTGTGTGATTATAAGTATGTACAATAAATGCTAATATCGTTACAATAATTCTTGATTGTCGTTGTCTTCTTGGTGTTCCTCTTCAGAAAGAATGCGTAGACGTTCTTGCATATCATTTAGTTTACTTGTAAGACGATCAACTTCAGCCTGCAATTGTATGTTCTCTGCTTCCTTCGTTTCTAGTGACGTGTGACATTCGGCTGAAACAAACAAACAAAACGCCAGTTGATAATTAGACCATGCACTTAAAAAATACACTTTACACACAGTATTTTTTCGTTACACTTGTTACCCTTAACATTTGAAATTCGCTTTTTCATTCTCTTTCTCGGAGATCCTTGCGGCCAGAACACCGAAAGTAGAAATGGAAATCTGCTTGGGAGATTGGCCTTCGCTGATACTCGGCTATTTCGGCCGGGTTCTCGCGATATTTTATTAGACCAACTTCATTGTTGCTTCACGACATATATTTGCCATGGCAACCACTAGTGTTTACTATTGATAAATGTCTCGTGTATATTAACATCTGCACGTTCATGATTTTGTGGTACTGAAAAATACATTATTTTCACTGGAATTTATTTTCGCTGAAAACAGTTTTCAGGCATTATGTGTGGATCTCATATTCACTGTGTTGTATCAAGACTCAATGTAAAGTATAGGAAAAATACCATTTTCACTGGAATTTATTTTAGAGGAAAAATGCTTTCAGCGAAAATAGCGAAAATGAAATCCATTTGTAAATAAAGTATTCCACAGTACATCGAAATAACAATTTACAAGCAATATTAACTTAGCGATAAATCACTAGGATACTCGGATTCTTCTGCAATTAATAAATAATGTTTCTGGCCGACGAACATTATGGTGGATATAATAACTAATTGATGACGTTACCGGACACGTGACAAAGCAATTGGTAGATTAGTATTAGTTGGTTCAGCATCTGTTTGTAGGTCCATGTTTGACATACTAGCACATTTTTCCACTGAATGTACACAAAAGTTTTGTTAAATAAGCTTACCTAAGCACACCTCGTAGTTGTCGCCATTGCAGTTAACACTTAAAATACCAGGCACCCCTTCCGCTTCCTGTAAACAAAGAAATGAATGATTCAGCCACGCACAGTAACTCTACTAGTAGAGTGACTGTGAGCCACGGTTCTCTCACAAGAGACTGTGACGTCATCACGTATACATTTATGTATAAGGCCAGACTTTTATTATCCCTTGTTTCGCGAACCCGCCGAATGAACAGGAGCCGAAAATGAAATAAAAATAACATTTTATTTCAGCGTAATTTCTCGCGCCCGCCGACTTGTAAGCGCAAAAAAATGCTAAAAAATTATTATTTTTATCTTCATTTTTTTACCGCCCGCCGCATAACAAATCCAAGTTACATTTTCGTGGGAGTATCATGATCAAAGTACCGAAGCCTCGCGCAGATGAGAAACACGGTTATACATGGAATAAAATTTTATTTCATTTCTTCTCTCCGATCAATGATCCCACTTACAATTCTTTGAGATTCACACAAATCTAGTGGAAAAAAAGAATTAATTTTTTTTTTCGCCCTCCTCAAAAACATTGCCTTATAAAAACTCGAGAAACAAGGAATAAAAAAAGTCTGGCCTAACATATAAATTGTTATCTCACCTCTTCAATTCTTCCACATTCTTTTTCTGCTTCTGATTTGATATATAAGCTGTGAAGATAATCGGATGGACACGCGTGGTGAGTTAGATTGAAAGATTTGCATCAATCGACTATATATTTATTCTTCAAAATTTGGCGGTACTTCAAATTACATCTATTTTAAGGGATTTATTAGTGGCTATAACACGACTACTTGCAAACTAGGACGAACAAAATGGAAGATTTGATGACATACTCGAACAACAACCTCAGTTGAAAATGAAAGACGAAAACAATCCTCACCCGTCGCTTCTATTGCAGCTATCAATGCACGTGTCGTCTAACCGGTAGCTTGCACACGATCCACACTCATCCGCACCTGGGCCCCAGCATCCCATACTACTGCATTGTTCATTGCATACGTGCCCCTCATTTCCTGGAATACAACAAAATAGAATAGGTCATTTGCATTTGTAATTCTGCTGCCACTGCGCCGCGACACACATGAAACAAAAGAACAATTCATTCACGAATACTGATTTATTCGTAGTTCTTATATGTTAACACTTTGCATTTTAAAGGGCGGCAGTCGCTGCGCTGTGCATGTGCGACATTTGTGTTGATAAACATTGATTTTCCCACAATCCAATGCGCTCTCCTCGTGGAAATCAAAAGTTTGAGGTTTGACCTGGGCGCGACTTGCACTAATTACCTTTCAATCACCTAAAAGAATACCTAATTGAAGCTTGTTAACGTCTGAGTTTATTTGTACTCGTTGATATGTGCATCAGTCAAAGTCGCCATCTTTGTTTATACGAAACCCATATATCTCGCGCATGTGTGGCGCGACGACTACCGCCCTTTAAGTTTGTCACAGTCAGTCAAAATTCATTAACTAAAAGCTCATTTGAGAGTTGCCACAACACTGCCCTGAAACATCTTACTACAAAGAATAATTTGTACCCCCCTCCCTAACATTTTTAATGGTCAACCACATTACTTACTGCAAATATCTGGCGGTCTGTTATAGGCAATGAGGGCGCCCTGATTCCGCTGTACCGTTTCCGGTAGTATGCCCAATATAGGTTCCAAATAACACAGGAAAGGGTTCCGCCTTATGTACACGTTCCCCCTGATAATACTTGACATCGATTTCAAACCCAATGATACCAAGTTGGTTCCTGTTATAATCAGTGAATATCCACTAAAAGAAATAATATATATATATATATACGTAAACAATAGTTTAAAATGACTAAATAGTGAGATTTCGACTAGCGCCGCCACTATTATTGGTGTTGTTATTATTATTATTATTATTATTATTATTATTATTATTATTATTATTATTATTATTATTATTAATTTAGTACTTTAAGAACGAACGGCAAAACAATATAATATACTAATGAATCTATTTATAGTACATTGATTCAGCACAGAATGTTGACTCGAATGTTTCAAATGACTAAATTTGTATAAGCTGGAACATATATTGTTTGTCACCTCGACCGTTATTATTTTTTTTACTATAATCTGTTTACTATAAACACAGATTTTACTACTAGTATTTAGTAGCAATGCAGATCCCGATATTTGCAAAAAAAAATCCATTATTACAATAATAGTAATGGTTGATTTTCGAATTTTCGATTTTCGATTTTGTGAAACAAACCGAGTGTATGCCACACAGCTCATTCACATGTACTGTAAAATACGTTATTTTAGCTGGAATTAATTTTCGCTGAACAACAATTTTTTGGTGTTTTGTGTGGAATTCATTTTCACTGATTTCTGATGGATATATTTGCTGGATTTTATTTTTACTGAATCATTCCTCTAGCGAAATTAGCGAAAATAAAGTATTTTACAGTATTGCCAATTCTTTCCGTTATATTGCAAACGCCGTAACTTACCTTTCGAGCTCTTCGCCATAAATATATTCTAAATTACTGAAAACTGATAGGTCGCGCTGACCTGTGTCGGATGCAAGTACCATTAGATAGCCCGTTATTATTCTAACAGTACTGAATACATTCAGCTGAAATGCGTCAATTCCTACTAGGCCAAAGAACTGATTTCTAGAAGAGAATAAATATAACAAACAAACAAATAATAATGTTATATTTCCAACAAAATGTATTACAAGTAATATACCCTACATTCTGTACAACAAGTCTTCGATATTTGTGTCAAAGCACTTACGCTCATCTACTAATCCACGCCCACATTTGCAGCCAGCGACTACATACAGTTTATGCTATTCGAATCGTACATGTACCTGTCAAGTCAAGGTGTGGTAGATTTGTATATGCAGAACTGTTATAATGATTATAATATGACTAACTGTGAACGAGGATGAACGACATAGCAAATTTGATGACGTAATTTGACAACACATATCACGTGATACTGAAACCGGCAAATATTATATTTGGTTGGTTGTCGTTTACAAATTGACATTTTAGGGAGTGTACATGTTTTTTGTTTTTCTTCCCGATTTTTTTAATAAATAATAACACAACCCGGCCTACTAGATGTCTTATAAATGTTTGTTTACCGATTACGCTGATATACAATTGCTGTACATACCTACAATTCTTATATAATATATAACTTAAAAAATTTACTGAACAACATACCCTTGAAATGTAGCTTCTGTAATAACAACATTTCCATCAATAATACTGCAGTTTTTGAACATATCGATATTCAATTCATCCACTTGGTCATGCCCTCTAAGTTCTTCTCTTCCAAAACCAGGACATACTTAAGAAAGGAAAAAAAGTACATTACGTTATATCGTTATACATCTATTTTATTTTATACATTACATTGTTAGTATCGTTAAAGCGGTAATAGCTATGATTTTGATCATTTTATGAATTACCAGATCTTACTGACATATTGCTTTAGACATGCGATGTAGTCGTCATCGTTAAAATTGGTCACGTGATAGCGCGATCGTAGAAAATTATGACACACGACGCACACTATTATTGGAAGTGAGACATAAAATCATCAGTGAGAGACCGTCAGAGTGAGGTACTGTAAAATGACTAATTTTCACTGGGTTTAAATTTCACTGATTTACCATTTCAGGCATATTCAGTGGGTTTCAAATTCACGGTTTCGTCATTTAGATAATGTGTTCTATGCTAAATTTTACATATTCACTGGGTTTTAATTAAGCGCATTTTCCAGTCAGCGAAATAAGCTAAATTAAAACCCAGTGAATAATTACCCCATTTACAGTATTTGAAGTGATTCCCGCTCTCAATGGCCTCTGTAAGTTTTGATCTTGCCCGGGGTTCACAAACTGGATCACAATGAATAACGCCATCTAGAGACCTGGGCGCAATGGGCAAGGGGCCCTCTATTTTTCACTACGAGTAGTTCTACTACCTTCCATACTTTAAAGCGAAGGG